GTGGACGTTCCCCTCGCCCGTGTAGAGCCTCATGGCTCGCATGCTGCACTGGCAGCTGGCCCCGCCGTCCCCTAAGCCGCCTTGGCTGCAAGCCTGGCTGTAGATGGCCGGGGCTTGCGCCTCGGCGTAGCCCAGGGGCAACGAGGAGGAGGCCAGGCCGGCCGCCGCCCGGCTGACGGGGCTGAGCTCGCCGGCCGGCGAAGTCCGCAGCGTCATGATGTTCTCCACGCTGAACCCGGAGAGGCCGTTGCTGTTGCCGCCGCCCGAGGCCGGGTGGTGGTGGTGATGCGCGGGGTGGAGGGGATGGTGAGGGTGGTGGTGAGGGTGATGCCCGTCGCCCGGCAGCGAGTTCTCCGTGGACCCCGACGGGGTGGAGCCCACGCTCCGAGGGCTGTCCTGCAGGGCGCTGCCGCTCTCCGGGCTGAGCGTCTCCACCTTGGTGATGATGGGCAGGTCCGGGGAGGAGGCCTCGCTCTTGATGACCACCTTCTTCTCCGACGGGGCGGCCGCCGAAGAAGGCGCCGCGCCCGAGGACGAGGTGGAGGAAGAGGAGGAGGTGGAGGAAGAGGAGGAGGAGGAAGAGGAGGAAGAAGAAGAGGTCCCGGCCGGGTTGCTGGACGGCGCGTCCTTGGAGAGCTCGGCGGCCTTGGGGGCCTCCTTGAGGTACCTCTCCCGGGCGCTCTCCTCCTTCTCCTTGGAAGCGTCTTTCTTCTTGAAGCGCCTCCGACGGCGCAGGAAGCTCCCGTTCTCGAACATGTTGTAGGAATCCGGGTCGAGGGTCCAGTAGCTGCCTTTGCCGGGCTTCTTGTCGTCGCGGGGCACCTTGACGAAGCACTCGTTGAGCGAGAGGTTGTGGCGGATGGAGTTCTGCCAGCCCTGCTTGTTCTCCCGGTAGAAAGGGAAGCGGTCCATGATGAACTGGTAGATGCCGTTGAGGGTGATCTTCTTGTCCGGCGCGTTCTGGATGGCCATGGTGATGAGGGCGATGTAGCTGTAGGGCGGCTTCACCAAGTCCTTGGGCTGCGGCTGAGGCGGGTAAGGGCCGTAAGGCCTGCCCATGCCGCCGCCGCCACCACCGTTCATCGCTATGGGAAAACATCGCTAAGCGAAACGCGGTTCCCCATTGGAATGCATTGAAACCTTTTCAGTTCATTTCAATGGGGGCGAAAAAAATCACCAAAAATTCAAAAAGAGTCAGAACGAAGCCAAATTTGGTTAGCAAAGGATTTATTAAGTGCACTAACGATTTCAAGCACTCTAAAGCCTTTTTAAACAATTTAACACCTTTTAAAAATATTGAAAATGGAGCTGTCAAAAACATCGCTAAGTGAAACAGGGGGACCTAAACGCCGCCCGGGTATTGCTCGTGGGCGGCCGGGTGAGGCGAGTACATGCTCATCGGAGCCGGCATGGCCGCGTAGCCCCCGCCGGCCGCCGCCGCCGCCGCCGCGGCCGCCCGGTAGTAGCTCTGCTCGCTGCCGAGGTAAGGCACGACTCCCAGCGAGTTAGGGCTGGGCACCGAATAGCGCGCCTGCATGGCCTCCCTTCCAGCCACCCAGCCGGACCGAGCAGCAGCAGCAGGAGCAGGAACCGCAAGCTGGCCTCCGCCTCCGCCTCCGCCGCCGTCTCCTCCAACGCCTCCTCCTCCTGTGCTTTTCCCCCTCCACCCCTCCGCAGCTCCAGAGCCAAAAAAATAATATAAACTCGAGGAGGCGACCAGGATCTTTCTTCTTTTAAAAAGAGAAAGTTTTTTTAAAAAAGGGGGGGGGTTGAGAGAAACAAACAACAAGAAAAGACAACCTCCCCCCTTTCGGGTCTAGTTAATTTTTATCCCTTCCCCTCCCCACTCAATTGGGCCGAAAAAATGAATAAATGAGTAGAAACAACCCGGAGGGGAGGGGAGGGGGGATGCCAGTGGGGGGAAGAAGCCTTCTTCGCCGCCGCCGCCTCCTCCTCCTCTTCCTCCTCC